GAATAGAATAGAATAGAATAGAATAGAATAGAATAGAATAGAATATAGAATAGAATGGAATAAAATAGAAAATAGAATGGAATAAGATAGAAAATAGAATGGAATAAAATAGAAAATAGAAATATACAAATATAGCTTTTTTGGGATTTCTGTTTAAATATCAATAAAAATGTAAAAGTTATTTTATGCATGTGTGAGTTCATAATTATTTAGAGTACTGCTGGTGACCTCCTTCAGCTGATATCTTGTATATTTAAAAAAGAAACTTAACAAAACATGATATTTGGTTATTTCTATATTAGATATAATAGAAAATAGACAAAACTTAACAAAACGTTGTATTCGTACATTTATATATTTCGTTAGATTATATTATTATTTCCATTTTCTATTACTTCTAATATAGAAATATACAAATATAGTATTTTGATAAATTTTCGTTTCGATAGCAATAACAACGTAAGAGTTACTTTCAGTGTAATAATTACGCACGCCACTGTATCACCTTCTTTTTGTACTAAAGGGTTTTGCCTGCGAATAAATGAATAAACAAATAAATAAAAGAATAAATTAATAAACGTCGTCGAGGAAGTGGATTATCCGTTAAGTGGAACCGACCCGAATTTTTCGGCACAGATAGATCGATAGAAAGAAACGCATATCGCGATTAATTCGTCATCGCGGCCGCGAAAATGCTTCACGACATAATAACAATCAATCGGGTCGGAACAGATGGACCCCGATGGGTGAACGTTCGATATTTCCCGGCGCGGCGTAACGTTTGTCGGATTTATGGGAAGTAATATCGTTCGGCGAAAAGAGATTTTTCTTTCCCCGTTGCGGACGGGCGGGAAGGAATCGAGGAGGCCGGTGAATGGGAATTTTTCAAAGGTTTATCAACCCCTTTGAGGCAACAACGCCGCTCCGGTGACTTTGAAGCTCGGAACGTGCTCGAGCGCGTGAATCGTCAGCAATTTTTCAAGCGTTTCCCGGGCGCTTCTCCATCGGTTGCGGTTATTCCGCTATTGAAACCGGCGCAACGTCGCCGGGCGTCGAAGGACGTTTCACTGCCAAGCGTTGAAATTACCGTGTTAATCGGCTGTTACGCGACCGCTTGGGAAAGGGAAAGCGATAAATAAGCGGGCGACGACGTGCCCGTAGAATTTCACGATGCAGCGTGGTAACGAGAAATAGTTCATTTCGCATCTCGATCGAGGAGGACGAAGGGAGTAAATAAAAGGGTAGTCGATATGCTCGAAAACGTGGGAAAAAATTCACGTCCTTTTCAGAGTTAATCCTTCGTTCGTTAATATCTTCAGAGACGACGTCTGCACGCTGAACCGACGAATGTTTCGGGATTGATTACATTGACGCGTTTGTTATCATCGCTTCTTCGCTGCTTGTCTTCATCGTTGAAAAGTTTCATTGAACGCAGTCTTCGTAAAATTCGAAAATAGTTTAAGAAAGGAAAGTTATGGACTTTCATATTATTATGCTGTGTATTGTAACTAAGTTGCATAAAGATTGATGCGAAGTAAAAATTCTCAAACTCCTTTGTAAGAAGCAGAAGTTACATTTTCTCTTCTAAGAATTTTAATGAAGCGAAGAGAAGATTCTTATGTATTCTCGTGTTTTTCCATTGTGTTTACGCCATGTTTGTTTTAACTACGGATTTTTAACGTGAATGCGTAAAATCCGCTGTCTAATTATGTCTTTAGATAGCAAAATTATAGAAGAGAAATGTTTGTTATCACGACGATTGTTCTCTTTTGCAGGGCTTCTTCAGGAGAAGCATTCAGAAGCAGATAGAGTACAGGTGCCTGAGGGACGGCAAGTGTCTGGTCATCAGATTAAATCGGAACCGCTGCCAGTATTGCAGATTTAAGAAGTGCCTAGCTGTCGGCATGTCCAGGGACTGTAAGTAACGAGTCACTTGAAACGAAGATTACTTTGGGCCGTGACTCGCGTGATGCAAATTTGTTTAACCACCGACATTAATCCTTGGATGGCGCACCGGCGATCCGAAAAAACGCGAATGAAATATGTCTTTGAACCAAGATTTGGCACGTTTGCGAATTATGATAAATTCTCTCCAATTGTCCTTCTGCTTGTAAACGAAAATGGACAATTTGCGCCTCGTTTTTATAGTTGTTGACAATCGGCAACTATAAAAACGAGGCGCGAGGCTCGAATAATCCTATCTCCCAAATTGTATATTTTTGTTTACAAGTTGAAGCACACAATTGGGGAGAATTTACTGTACTGTGACTTAGGGTATTGTATCTAATGAATGAACACCCTCCAGTGAAAGAACATTTTTCGTACTATATGAAAAACTAAACGTTTATCATACCTTTTCTAACATTAAAATTTATCTAATAGTACTAATAATAGACATCTATCCTTTCGCTGCGCACGTATAAAAAATACAGGAGATAATCGTATTGCAACCCTTCAAAAAGCTTGCTGCTTCACTTTCATTATTTAAAATTACGATTTATATCCATAGCTGTTGATTTTTCACTTTTAACACATTGACTGATTCATCCGTATGTGGGTTTTATTAGAATCCGCGTACAAAAACTAATTAATGTCATATAGCTTAACTTTCTAATTTTGATTAACTTGCAAATAAATTTGTGGTTTCGCAATATTTTTGATATCGTTGGCATGACGATCGAAGTGTTAAACTAACTATGTTAAACTTTCCTGATTTGATAAAAATCTGTACGACAATGACGTTATCGCTGTTGAGACTTCCTTGTGTGCAAGCTGTATACTTTTAAACAAAATTATCACCATGCAATGCGAACACTGCAGTCAGCTCGAATTACTGTTACTCAAGTATCAACATGTCATTCGAACCCCGTCGAAGCTCGAGTACAATGTTAGGCAAACGTTGGGATAATTTTCCTAAAAGAACTCGGCTTCATAAGCGCGTTGAATGACACACGGCTATTGGATAATAGCGAACGAAGCTGAAACGATCCTGCGAAAGCCCCGAATCCTTGATACAGTGAAATGAACACGCAATTAAAATCGATGATCAGAATAAAATTGACTTACGCTGTCATCCGCTGTACTATGAAAGCATGAAAGTCTGGATGAGCGTTTTTGCGAGATACAGTTATTATGGATTCAATCGTTAATATTCAAATATGCGGATTAAAATATTAAATCGTTATCGGTTGAATACAGAAACGCGAAGGATTATTAAAAGATTAATTCTTTACTCTTAGTGGATATTACAATCGAACGCTTAATAAATATTTGCAATCTTTGGTGTATCATTCATCCTTTGTATATTATATTACATATTCTTTCCTTATATTAATGTGAATATAAATTAAACATAAAAGAAATCAAAGAAGAAACACCTGAAATTAAATTCTTGTTTGAGAAGAACGAATAAAGAAGTCACGTTGCTGTTAACGGTATCAATCACCGACGAGTTGCAAATTAGATCCGATCCAGGTGCCGGTGTTCCGCTACTCTCCCCGATCAACGAATAAATTCTACGCGCAAGACGCTACTGTTAATAGAATATTTTTCATTTCGCTTCCCGACAGGAGAGGTACACGCTCGCGTTAATAATCGCGGTGTCTTTTACTTTCCGAAACTTCCGGGCTCGGTAGAGCGCGGCGAGGGCAAAGTAAACTCTGAAGCGAAGTTGCGTGCATAATTAAACGTCAAAGTTCCACGGTGCAATATGCGGCTGTGTGTAATAGGCAGCCCGGGAAGCTTCCCGCTCGTATTGTCGGCGAAATCGTAATAAGCTTTAGCAGCCTTCTGATCCGCTTCGAAAGGGGTGCATTACATCATAGAGGGTAAAGCTGTCCGGAAGCATCATCCCCTATTGGACGGCATAATTCTCCGATGCAGGATGTCGGACATTAATCTTCCAATTGTGTGATTATATTGCTGGTAGAATAGTATTCAATGCGCAATTGTAACGTAAGCGGATTTTTACACTTTAATTCGCAGTTCTGTTGATCGATTTATGGAAAGTTGGAATTCGATTTCTCCTCGCGCAGGATTATTCTTAGATCGGAAATAGAACTTGTCTGCCACTAAATGTTTGCCACTCATAATCTGATCGATTAATTACATCGACAAGGAAAAATAAATGCTTGTTTGGCAGAACAACGTAATCGAGCATTTCTGTGTAGTTCTGTACAAGATGAAAAACGTAACTTGATCGCATTAAGTGGAATAATTAACGCAATATTTGATTTATCGCACTGGTACAGTGACAGACAAAAGCTTTTCCGAGCTTCCATAGTCGTTAATTGTATTTTAAATTGTATTCAAGATTATATGAAAAGCATGGTACTCTAAGCTGATACTCTAATTGGTGGTACTCCACGGTACTCTCTAAATGGTACTCTAATTAACTTTGATGCCATTTGTCAAACCTTAATGCTAAACATGCACGGAACATCGATGATTTTGAAACATTGAAAGAGAACTTTTAACTAATTTCTCAAAACAGTTCGGTGCGATCAAAAAACAAACTAGGATCGTTGAAGCAGTTATTTCGACAGATCGATCAAATACTCAAACCCAAAAACGGTTATTTCCGAAATGTTTGTCTCGCTGTTTGGAATTAAAAGGAGCCAGCAGATTGAATTTGATCTGATCGAATTATGAGCGTAATTATCTTTAAGCGTCTGTAATTGGAGAACTGTCTACGAAAATACTCTTGACAGGCTGCCAAGGCCAGAAAGCAACAAGAAGATTGGTAATTTATTCGATGCTACTGTGGACGAGCTTAAGTTTCCAGTTGAAAATGATTAATGAAGGGATGAAAGCTCTTGATGTATACGGTAATGGAAGTTGCCCTTAATCCGGCGCGCTGGCCTTAATCGCCCAACATCGTTCTCTTTTCATTATAACATCGTCACACGTTCTTCTTTTTCTATGCGCCGCGTCATTTCTTCGTAAATCTTCGCTTATTATAAAGTTCACGCGTCCGCTGTTCAATATAACCTTTAACTGGGGGATATTTATCAGTGAAAGTTTAATATGAGAATGGTATCTGTCGCGACACAGATTTTCTAAAAGCTGAATAATGATCAAAAGAGAATAAACAATCGCGCCCCATAATCCCAGAGGTTGCTTTCTAATTTGTCCAGCGTATACTTCGACCACTAAATTATATTTATTAGACTGTAGATATCCAACGAAATCCTGTTACATAAACGATTTCACCGCGTGTAGAAAAATGGATATTTTTTTACCTTTATGTACCTCTACAAAACACCGCGAGCGCTTAAAAAATTCGCTGTTTAATTGATAAAATTGATAAACGTTGCACGTAATCTGTATAAAGGATATTTTGCAAATATGAATTAATCTATAGCAAATAGAATATTTTGCCCTGTTAGGTCTTTGATCATATTTCGAAGAAAATAAAAGCCTCGTGAAAGTGTTTTAAAGACTTCTGTATCTCGAATTCTACTTAACCGTTCGAGTACCAGGGGTTATTCGGAAAACACGGTCGAAAAGTGGCGAACAGCGTAATAGCGCTGGTCTTAATTGATCGCGAAGAGCACAAAACAACGCGATAGCGCTCGACAAGATTGACAAACACAATAAAAAGAAAAAAAAATGAAAAGAAGCAGCTATGCGATGTACGCGCGTCACTGAAGTTTGATCGCGCGACACAAGATCTGAACAGCGCGATCGCGCTGCTTGGGACAGATGTGTATAAGAGACAGCTCATAATCTGATCGATTAATTACATCGACAAGGAAAAATAAACGCTTGTTTGACAGAACAACGTAATCGAGCATTTCTGTGTAGTTCCTGTCTCTTATACACATCTAGATGTGTATAAGAGACAGCTCATAATCTGATCGATTAATTACATCGACAAGGAAAAATAAACGCTTGTTTGACAGAACAACGTAATCGAGCATTTCTGTGTAGTTCCTGTCTCTTATACACATCTAGATGTGTATAAGAGACAGCTCATAATCTGATCGATTAATTACATCGACAAGGAAAAATAAACGCTTGTTTGACAGAACAACGTAATCGAGCATTTCTGTGTAGTTCCTGTCTCTTATACACATCTAGATGTGTATAAGAGACAGCTCATAATCTGATCGATTAATTACATCGACAAGGAAAAATAAACGCTTGTTTGACAGAACAACGTAATCGAGCATTTCTGTGTAGTTCCTGTCTCTTATACACATCTAGATGTGTATAAGAGACAGCTCATAATCTGATCGATTAATTACATCGACAAGGAAAAATAAACGCTTGTTTGACAGAACAACGTAATCGAGCATTTCTGTGTAGTTCCTGTCTCTTATACACATCTAGATGTGTATAAGAGACAGCTCATAATCTGATCGATTAATTACATCGACAAGGAAAAATAAACGCTTGTTTGACAGAACAACGTAATCGAGCATTTCTGTGTAGTTCCTGTCTCTTATACACATCTAGATGTGTATAAGAGACAGCTCATAATCTGATCGATTAATTACATCGACAAGGAAAAATAAACGCTTGTTTGACAGAACAACGTAATCGAGCATTTCTGTGTAGTTCCTGTCTCTTATACACATCTAGATGTGTATAAGAGACAGCTCATAATCTGATCGATTAATTACATCGACAAGGAAAAATAAACGCTTGTTTGACAGAACAACGTAATCGAGCATTTCTGTGTAGTTCCTGTCTCTTATACACATCTAGATGTGTATAAGAGACAGCTCATAATCTGATCGATTAATTACATCGACAAGGAAAAATAAACGCTTGTTTGACAGAACAACGTAATCGAGCATTTCTGTGTAGTTCCTGTCTCTTATACACATCTAGATGTGTATAAGAGACAGCTCATAATCTGATCGATTAATTACATCGACAAGGAAAAATAAACGCTTGTTTGACAGAACAACGTAATCGAGCATTTCTGTGTAGTTCCTGTCTCTTATACACATCTAGATGTGTATAAGAGACAGCTCATAATCTGATCGATTAATTACATCGACAAGGAAAAATAAACGCTTGTTTGACAGAACAACGTAATCGAGCATTTCTGTGTAGTTCCTGTCTCTTATACACATCTAGATGTGTATAAGAGACAGCTCATAATCTGATCGATTAATTACATCGACAAGGAAAAATAAACGCTTGTTTGACAGAACAACGTAATCGAGCATTTCTGTGTAGTTCCTGTCTCTTATACACATCTGTCCCAAGCAGCGCGATCGCGCTGCTTGGGACTCAAACGGTTAAGATCGAAAATAACGTAGATGCGGGCAATTTCGTTATCCGGCTTGCAACATTCTCGAATGAAAAATAAGTAAATTTATTGTTGCATATTCCTCTCGCGGACGAACGAAAGAGCGTTTCCCCAAGTAAACGATGTCGTAGCAAAAATGAACACGAAGATCCTCCGCTAGTCCCGATAAATAGTTAACAAACGGTGTATCGCGGATACATCATTCGGCCGCGTATTCTCAGCAACCAATGATTTTGTTTCAGCTGTAAGATACGGCAGGGTGCCAAAACGTTCAAGAGAACGCGGCCCCGAAGACGCGGTACCAACGACCACCACTACAACGACAACGACCACGGGCGTGCAGCAACTGACATCTCCCGGTGCTGGAAACAATAACAACAACAACAATAATAATAACAACAACAATAACAACAACAATACCAGCCAGAACAATAACAACAGTCAGAGCCAGAACACCATAGCTTGCGTGCCACCGGCAGCGGTGGTTGAAGCGGATCAGTCGGACGCTGACGTGAAACAGTTGGCAGTGTACGACGTGATACTTCAAGTTGCCCAGGCGCATCACGCTCACTGCGGCTTCACCGAGGAATCGACGAGAGGCATCGTTCGGAAACCGATGACAATACCGGTGAGTTTCAGCAAACAGTAATTACCGAAACCACGCGGCGCGGCGTGTCGGAGATGCATTAACGGCGGATGTGACGACGCGTAACGAAAAGAACGTGAGAATGCGGCTGAATTGCATGCTGGATGACGCTAGATGGTAACCTGGGGTGCGATTTAATTTTTGAATTTTTTTTCCACGGTTCCAATACCATAAGAGATGATACGGTACATAAATATGATACGAGAAAATGTCTAATAAATTCAATGTTTGCTTCAGAAAACAATTATTGAGTTGAAAAAGAGTTGAGTTGAAAAAAAGTTTCTTCTCAAGGCCGCCGTGTGTGAAGGTCATTGAGGTTTCTTTCTTTTTAAAAAGGTCACGCATGTAACATTACAGCGTATAAAAGAAACAAATTCGACCATTGCAAATTCCTATTTTTATTAATTATTTTCTAAACATCTGAAGAAGAGAAAAACGTCTTATATCGACTAAAAAATTCATCAATTTGCAGGTTCTCTAGCATTTTAAAAACTTGTATGCACCAAAAATGCACGGAGATCCACAGTCTAGTAATCGTGATTAAATATGAAGAAGGAAATTTGACGAAACTTACTTAAAAAATGTAGAGAGCGTATATATACAATTTTAAATACTATTAAAATTTACTTTTAAATCCTTTTATGTATTAATTATTAAAAATAATGTATAATAACTATACATTGAAAGTAACCCATAATACTTTTAAGTAACCGTACGTCATTAGCAGTCAAAGAATTAATGTTAATAAGCTTAATGTTAATAATGTTAATAATAAATTAATAAGGAACGCTGGGGGTTAAGCGTAAAGTTCAGTCACATCCGTCGTTAGATTTTCATTGAAATTAGACTGAGATGTCCTACTGGAACTGGCAGCAACGCCTGTTTCTTTTGTAATCCGGCTGATTAGGCGAGTGCTTCTTCGCAGCCCGCCAGTCCCGAGGACCCAGAGGCTGCGTCCTCGACAGCAGAGACAGTCGAGTCGCAAAGGATCTGGTTATGGCAACAGTTCGCCACCAGGATAACGCCGTCGGTGCAAAGGGTGGTAGAGTTCGCCAAAAGGGTGCCAGGATTTTGCGAGCTCTCGCAAGACGATCAGCTGATCCTGATTAAGGTCGGTTTCTTTGAGGTCTGGCTCAGCCATATCTCAAAGATGACCACTGACAGTTCGATGACATTCGAGGATGGTACTTATATCACTAGGCAGCAAATGGAATTGATGTACGAGGTGAGAATCGACACGAATAACACACTTTTTAGACGTAGACAGAAATGCCTTTTCGACTAAATGTCACCGAGTATACTTCGGATCATTTATAACTTTATTTATCAATAATTTGTAACATATATTTTAAGGTACTTCTTCTAGATTCTATTTTTTATTTTTATTTTATACACTATAATTGTCAGAATCGACGGATGAGTAGAAAAAATCAGTATACTTTAGTTAACGCAGGAATGTTTTCTTTAATTCTAATTTTTGTAAAGTGACGTATGAAAATGAAAATTTACACGAAGATTTGCAGTTTATGTATAATCAACAAGAAAACCTCATTGCTATACTTCCATTGTTCAAAATGCATTTTTACACACGTATTCTTATAAGAAACGTAACATATTTCTTTAAAACAGTACTAAAAAGAGAGCTTAATTCTCTAGATAGATTGTCCTATAAGTTCGTGCTGCTGATATATAACTTCGATTATCCGATCTAATTGAAACGACGTGGATAATTTCTTTATATAATCTTTACCGATTGGTATAATAAATCGACTTCTATATGACTCATCTATCTATTCTCACGTGAAAAGTGTTTGGATGAAAGAAGATTCGGATAGCAGTATTTCGAAAGATTGAGATGTATCACTGAGAAGTATTACAAAAATTCTACTGTAACTTTTTGTAGATCATATTTACCACTTTGCAAATCATATTGATCTTTCTTCAAATTGTCACCATCGCCACGTTACAAATTTATTTTATAAATAAGTATTTAAACTCATATTAAATTTAAAAATTGAATACGACGCAGCCAATTTTTATATGCGAAAGCTTTAATTTTATTTCGATAAAGGTGAATTTAGCTTGCCAAACGATGAATAAAACCTGTAAAAGAGTTAATTTATTATGCGAACACGCGTGAACATTATCTACAAACTGTTCAATTTGCAGTGCAAACAGGTGAAATACGATCTGCAAAGGTATTAATTTCGAGTGCAAAAATGTTACATAGGATTAATTTCGAGTGCAAAAATGTGATGTAGGATTGAATTTCGATTGTAAGAAATCTGTATGTGGATATCCAAATATCAAAGCCGCGAATGGCGCGAATTTATAGGACGACCTAACATCATCGTCGACAAGCATAGACACCGATCGTTAATCCTCTACCTACAATAGCTTTGTGCAAACTCCGTCGGGATTGCATTCGAATCAAGTTGTCGATCACTCAAAGCCGGTCTACCCAAATCCCCAGTAGGCCGGCTGCCTTTCTAATCCCCGACAATTACTTAATCGATCTAAAACGTTCTAAAACAAAACAGCCGGATTTTGTGTCCGCCTTGATGCAATTCACGTCGGCGCTGAACGGCCACCAACTGACGGACACCGAGTTGGGTCTCTTTTCCGGCGCCGTTCTTCTGGGCGAGAGGCCGGGATTGAACGATGTCAAGGCGGTACAGAGGCTTCAGGATCGTCTTCTGGAGGCGCTGAAGGTGCAGACGTTACGGAACCACACGGTTCCTGGCGAGGCCACATCCGCGGGCGGCTGTTCCAACGTCTCCAGCGTCTCGCAGAGGATACCGGAGCTGAGAGCCCTGGGTGCCCGACACGCGAATCTCCTTGATTGGTTCAGAAGGAACTGGACTAAGCTCAAACTACCGCCCCTCTTCGCCGAGATATTCGACATTCCCAAATGCGAGGAGGATCTTCAGTGAACAGGTGACTTTCCGCAATCCCTTTGCAATCTCACAGCCTTAGGCCAAACAATTGGATACGCTCGCAATTTTCAAAGTAAAGTCTTTCGGTTCGAACGCGATTTGTTAGCAAATTTTGCGATCTACTTTCGATGTTTTAGCTCGCCACGTTTCGAACGAGTCGAAAGAATCTAACAGGATAAACAATCGTTCTCATCCACATCGTTTAAGGTTACTCAGGTTGGAAAGCCTAAACTTTACCTTTCAATTTATCAGATATTACCAGACTGCAGACTTTTATGCAAAATACAAATTATCTAAGTTAATTGTAAGAAATATAAATTAGATGAAAATATCTCTCCTCTTTTAATAATCGTAATAAATTGAAAATAATGTAACGGTATCATTAAATTCTTTTAACGTCATTTTAGTTTTGTATTTGACTTATTAATTATTTTGAGTTATCAATTGAGTTATTAATTATATTATCCTGCAGTCTAGTTATTACTTAAGATATTTAGATGAAATAAAAGCGAGAATGACACAATAATCGATAAGTAAGATTAGAGGATTAGAAAATTGCGAGTGGTCCTAATTTTTTGAGCGAAGACAACCCGAAAACAACAATTTAACTTTGTGAATCAGCGTTTCTCAATCTATGGGCCGCGTTGAATTTTTGATGGTCATAAAATGGTAACTACTATTTCATGCAGAAAACAGAAAAGTGACTAATTTATTAAAGCTTTCGTAAAAGTTCTCGTAGAATAAAGTAATAATATGAGATCCCATTTATGTTTGATGAAATATCGGGTAATAAAAAGAGAAAAGCTTTCATAGCCGCATGCTTAATTCTTAGAATAGAAACACGAACGAAGTATAATAAATATTCTACGCGTCGTCTCGGATTTATTTTCCTCCTCTGAATTTCTGTAACTTGATTATATTTGAATCAATGTGGAGTCTCGCAATAGGAACATCCTGAGTTTAGAGGAAAGTTAGATTAATCTGAGAATAGTTTATTAATGTTTTGTTTAGATGATGACGTTATTACTGATTACAAAAAACTACAAATGAGAAAAAACACATTTCCTGATTCGCGTGAGTAATAACCTTGTTCGGATGACAATATCATTCGTTTTAGTTGTTATAAATATAGCTGCAATGTTGTCATACTTCTTTATAAAAATTTTATACGATTTCATATTAAATTCATATCTTAGATCCGATTAACCAATTTTATGTAAATTGTTTTGTTTCCAGTTTATTAAAAATTTATTTAATATACAACGATTGACGACTCAGCACCTAATTATCAATTTTCTGCAATATTACACGACAATATTTACGTTTAAAAAATATTAAGCTGAAAGTGCCAGTATAAAGTAACTAGTTTTCATTAAACTATTGTATCGACGGATGCAATAAATTTTCACGTTCGTGGACTATTTTTCAAAAACTAAAATCAAGAGGAAGATCGTTCTAGCAAAGAAAGATTTCGCCAATTTAAAAATAAAATAATAATTATCTATTTATCTGTCATCTACTTCTTTTAATCATTTTCCAGCATTTTAAAGTTAAACGTCACTTATTTCATCAATTTGCCACAATCCCAGATTCCTTAAAAATTAATTACAGAAACTTGGGATATCAAAGGTTCACCGCCTGCGGGAAAGTATATTCTTTAATTCATAACAAAATTCACTTAAATCGATCGATTAGTTTTCGAAATATTTATCTCGCCAGTTCGAAAAATGACGTTCCGAGAAAAACGCGCTGAAAGTTTTCCAGGATGAAAAGAATTCATGCGATACCTGCCACTTCGATCATTTTCAGAATTCCGAAATTATATATATTTGAAATATATATATATTAAATATAAATATTATATATATTTGAAACACCGCAGAAAGTGAGAGACTTTTTAAAGTCCTCGAGCGAGACCTCCCCTTAACGAGTCTACTGCTCGAGTCCGAGGGAAACGATCAAAGTCGCCCGCGTTTCTACAGTCTGCACGTTCCGGAAGATGATACTGTCTGCCCAAAAACCTCCCCGGAGTTACCAAAACTCTGAAGGAGCTTGCGGTATCACGGATTCGCTAATCTCCTCTCCACAGGCGACTTCGGCAAACAGAGTAAATTACGTCACGCGGACCCGCCGAACCCTCAAAACGCAAAACTAGGTTGCCGGAGGCACGAGTCCCGGGGCGACTTCAACCTCGACTTACTTTCCAACTTGGAACAGCACCGGGTGTCCCGGCCCCGTGGAACCGTCGCCCCGCGTTCCATAAATCCGTGTTTGCATTTTCATCCACGCCCCTGAAATCCGTACGAAATTTGCAATTCAATGGCGCGCCGCGCGCTCGCCCGACTACGCCGGAGCATTCTAATCGGGTGGATCGTCTTTGAAGAATGTTTCAGAGTACATCGAGTTAATTCGACGAAAACGAACGGCCCCCCGGGAAAATGGAACGGGAGAATCCTCCGATTGCCAGCGGTCATCGCACAAACGCGGCTCGGACGTGCCTCGAGGACGATTTGTTTTCACTCGTTGGCGATGCTGCGCGCCTGGAGGAGGAGAAGGAGGAGGAGGAGGAGCCTCTGGATCGACGATCCGCCGCCATTTCGGCGGGTCGATCTCGCCGGATCCAGCACCGTTCGTCTCATTGACAAACGAACGGAAGATGGATCGTTCCACGGCGAGGCGGTACAGATTGCTGATCGAAGCTCCCCTGGACGCGAAGGACGGCCGATTAATAAACGGAACGAAATAAATCACACTGCGATATCAACCCTTGGATACGAAAGCCGTTCCGGGCGTCCGAAATCGAAAAGAGCTTCGTCGAGCACGAGGATCCGTACCTATTCGCCGCGGAACGCGTCGCGGGAAGCATTTAAAAATACTCAGTCGATGAGGGGGAGGATAGCATTTGTTTCTTTTTTTCGTTATTCTTTTCGTCCCGTGTAAATTAGTCTCGCGCATATCGTTGTTGCAATAAAGCGGCGCCGTGATCGAACACGCGCCGCGCGGAAAAGATAGCATAAAACCGTGATCGATTTCCGGAGCGCCGTTTATTATGGCGCTACCGGTGAACGTTTTCGGGCGAACTTTTAGAGAACATAAAGACGGAAGACCGAGGTAGTTTAAAAGAGGGCTCGAGGACATTTTTTTGGTGGCGTGTGCCGCGCGTCGCCTAGCGTTCGCGTTCTCGATCGCTCTAGATCGGTCTCGATCGCTCGCGGCCGGTCGGATGGGGGAAAAATACCGGCGGCCACAAACTCGCAGACATATCGCAAGCGATGATGAAACATATTTTTCCGTTCGTCCATAGAATCACCGGGTTCCCCATCCGGCAGGGACGCGCGTCGACGGAAATGGCGGACGCGCGCGACCATAAGTCCATCGGCGCAGCCGCGGGCAAGGTCTACGCGCGCGTATCACACTTATACATATTATACAGATATTATACAAGTACAGAAAAACAGGAATGTTTCACGCTATAAAGCTCAAGAGGATGATAAATCTTTATAGGATCGTGTCTCTTTAGATGCATCCGCTACGAATCTCAATCTATGCAATCTCTATTTTTATTACTTGACAAGTAGTGTATAGTGGATTACCTTTATAGATATTGTTGCATCGCTTCAGGGTGTTCCGCGGGAACGGGGAGAGTATATGTATATCGTATTCTTTCGTTGAGACCTCTCGGTTTTCTAAACGGCAACGGCTGAACGAAAAACTGCACGGAAGCTCGCGTTCCGCTCTACGGCCCTGCGCAGCTGGAAGCTTGGAAACCGGCCGATCAACTTGGCCGGCCAACTCGAATAACGCCGACAAATCGAATCCTGCTTCGGTCATCCTGCAGGACTCCGTCGACTTTCCGGCTGCGCGTGGCACTGGGCGGTCAAAAGGGCAAAGGGGAAACGCGAGTCGAAGGTCGCGCACGGTGTGCACGAGTAACTTGTAGCGTTGGGTTGTTGCAATTTGTTATCGGATCGATCAAACGTCGTTCATCGGCGAACAATCATCGACGAAGGAGAGAACGTTTCCCGGTGTTGTTGAATGGACTCCTGAAGTGAGCATGTTTCGAACTCTTCGAACTCTTGAACGCTAAATAAAAAAAAAACTCTCTGACAATGACTAGCATGTAATGCGTATCGATATGTATATATATATAAAATATACTTATAAATATACATTCATCGTGAGAGATTTTGCTCGATTTGGGGTGGGTCCGGTGGGATGGGCGGGGGGTGGGGAGGGAGGGTCTTTTGGGAGGGAAACGAACAATTCTGAGAGAATCTAAGTTTATCACTAGAGAAATTAATGTTTTATCCTAGCTGCGTACTTAAATTAACGTTAACGTAAACGCGTCGGTGCATTCGCTAATTTCTGTCGAATGGGATTGATGGGAAATCGTTGGTAGAAGACTGGCGAGAGTGTACGATGGCTCTGTTGACGATGGAAGAAAGACGGAATTCCAACTTTAAGCGCTCACATCAAGTTGTGAATAAACATATCATACCTAATTAATATATTGAACAAAGAAGGGATATCATCGTTTAATATAAAAAGTAAATAAATATATAAATAAATAAATATATATATATGAGTCTATATATATATGAAGATTATAAATCTATATGCAAGAAGAATAGTTATTAAACGCATTGTGTTGAATGAGCGTAGATCTAATCTGGTAGGCCATCTCTACAATCCTGCTAACAAACAGAAATACTATAATATGCGAGAACGAAATGGCGCAGCCCTTTCCTCGATTTTAAGCACTACGAGAGAGAATTTTCAAAAAAAAACGTGAACTAATAAGACGGGACGAAGCGAGAAAGCATATCGATTGAGGATTCTCGGCTCTCGTATGATCTACCAAAACAGATCTGCGCCAGGGAATCACGTGAATGTGATAAAAGATGATTAAGGAGAGAGAAAATAAAAAGCACGCGAAGCGAGTTGTTACTCGCCATCGTTTAAATTATTATTACTTCCTCTTTTCCTATTTCTCTCTTTCTCTTTCTATCTCTCTCTCTCTCTTTCTCTCTCTCTCTCTCTCTCTCTCTCTCTCTCTCTCTCTCTCTCTCTCTCTCTCTCTCTCTCTACCTATCTCTCTCGCTCTCTTCGTCACGAGACGTGCAGCGAGGAAAATTTCAATGAAATGTAAATCGAGTCACTCGGTGTGTAATGTATGTATGAGCGCTTTTCTGCTCGTGTATATAAATTCTGTAATTCGAGCGAGTCTAGTGGCTGTCCTAATAATAATCGCCGGCTCGATACGGAAACGGCGATACGAGGAGAGCGAAGAAAAAAGAAAAGAAAAGAAATGCCGTGACATTTTCCTCCTGTGATATTTGAATTTGCGATTCGTTTTTTCAAAATTTCTAGTCCCTACGACTTATTCGCCGACCTAGAGCAATCGCATTACTTTACGATATTCTTGTGAACGTTGAATGGAACACGTTAATCGAAACGGCCAAATACTTAATTACGATATTAATTGTAATATAACTGCTTGATCGCGCTGATCGATCGCTGGACTTCGAAATACATGATTACAAGAGGTTCGAACGAGAAGTTATTCCTAATAACGAACGATCCACAGAACATTGTCAAGTAGGCGTATTTTAGCGCAAACATACTGTATTCGAAAAACTGTCATTATCGCCCCTCTATAGTTGATTTGTTCGAATCATTTGGATTACGAATGAAATATAACAAAATCGAAGTGTTCAATTTAAAAACGGCTGAATATCAACCAGGAATCTTTAGCATAAAGCTTTCATGTTTCGAACATTTCTTTGTGTAATCGCCGAAGACGGTTACGTCTGCATTTAATAAGCATCGAATCGGTAATNCTCTCTCTCTCTCTCTCTCTCTCTCTCTCTCTCTCTCTCTCTACCTATCTCTCTCGCTCTCTTCGTCACGAGACGTGCAGCGAGGAAAATTTCAATGAAATGTAAATCGAGTCACTCGGTGTGTAATGTATGTATGAGCGCTTTTCTGCTCGTGTATATAAATTCTGTAATTCGAGCGAGTCTAGTGGCTGTCCTAATAATAATCGCCGGCTCGATACGGAAACGGCGATACGAGGAGAGCGAAGAAAAAAGAAAAGAAAAGAAATGCCGTGACATTTTCCTCCTGTGATATTTGAATTTGCGATTCGTTTTTTCAAAATTTCTAGTCCCTACGACTTATTCGCCGACCTAGAGCAATCGCATTACTTTACGATATTCTTGTGAACGTTGAATGGAACACGTTAATCGAAACGGCCAAATACTTAATTACGATATTAATTGTAATATAACTGCTTGATCGCGCTGATCGATCGCTGGACTTCGAAATACATGATTACAAGAGGTTCGAACGAGAAGTTATTCCTAATAACGAACGATCCACAGAACATTGTCAAGTAGGCGTATTTTAGCGCAAACATACTGTATTCGAAAAACTGTCATTATCGCCCCTCTATAGTTGATTTGTTCGAATCATTTGGATTACGAATGAAATATAACAAAATCGAAGTGTTCAATTTAAAAACGGCTGAATATCAACCAGGAATCTTTAGCATAAAGCTTTCATGTTTCGAACATTTCTTTGTGTAATCGCCGAAGACGGTTACGTCTGCATTTAATAAGCATCGAATCGGTAATCGAAGGGCACGCGTGTGTTCTTTATCGTTGCCGATTCGCGAAAAGAGCCAGGTCAACGATCGATCGGAGCAATCGGGGAAAATATAAGAATGATAATCGACGTAGCATCCTTTTAACTGAATCGTACGTCTGCTTCTTTCATTCCCTTCTCTCGTGTTCCGACCGAAGCGCAAGATCACACCCCATCCCCTCGATACCCTCCTCGAACCGATTCTCATTTCCGTTCTCCTCCGTTCCATCCTCTCGTCATCCCTCCTCATCCCGAAACGCTACATACTTTGTAACCCAGAGATTTCGGTCATGGTGCTATTATATCTGTACATATACTGTGGGAATCGTTGCGTATATCAATGTACCATTATTATTAATATTATTCGAGCTAATCGTGCCCTGTACTACGATTGCAATTTATCATTATCATTTTATTATTTCGTTGTCGCTGATAGTCGAGGTTTAATCGGTCGGCGTTACGTTCTTATTGTGCGTCGAGCTTATACTTTTAATTCGTCTAAGCGTTCTCCTCTTTATTTTTGCGCGCGCGCGTTCGATACTTCTCTCCTCCTACTACTTTTCTTTTTTTATATGCATGTAAGTATCTTCCTTCTCTGGGAAACGTTCTAACAAAACGGAAATGTGGCGATTCCTTTCAGTCTTTTGTTTCTTCGGAGGATAAATATTATATAAACGAATATACGTATATATATATATATATACATATATATATATACATTGTATGTATATACATGTATATGAAACAAGAGAAGTATATATATGTGTATATACATATGTATTCCGCCCGTAAGCCAGGATTCTGCAATAATCACGATTTTGTTTGATATTGATTCTATGATTGTATATTTATAGATAAGTTGTGCTCAAGCGTGCATCTCGTCGCGTACGCTCTATTCACATATATTACACGTATCCTTCTTTTTTATAATAGACGAGATATCGACTGCATACCTATATCTATACCGGACATTTTATAAATCTCAAAGCAGCCAACCGGGAGGATCATCCGGCCGAACGTAAGACGATCCCGAAATCGATGGTCCCGTTCGACTTTACAATTTGCCGATCTATGATAACGATTCGAAGCAAGAAGATCGCGCGAAATTCTGCAAACCTGCTAGCCGTGTTCGATAGGAACGTCTTGCCTCCGGCGGTGAATCCTCTGTCTTTCTTCTGATTGATTGATAATTTTACGGGACAGCTTATGTAACAAGATTATATCGAGATGCCGAAAAATGACGATGACGATGACGATGAATGGATGGCGTGCCAAGCGAGGCGGGAATTGTTCTTTTAGAAAAAATGGAAAATATGCGAAAAGAAAAGAAAAAATATAATATTACATATATATGTATAAAAATAATATAAACGACGATAATGATATTAAGGTAAATAAGTACGACAAAGGACTGCTCTATACTGCTAAAGTACAAATGTTTCATTTTAATTGTTTTATAAAGGAAGAAAAGAAAGAAACGATATCGATTTGTTAGAGATTAAGTTTAATGCGCGCACGCCTGCGCGCGATGTACGTGTAATTATATTTATTTGTTAATCTCTTTTTCTCTCTCTCTCTCTCTCTCTCTCTCTCTCTCTCTCAGTCTCTATCTCTATCTCTCGATCCGTCTTTCTCTTTTTCTGTTTCTCTTTCTCTGTCAGCATAATAAGCGAGGCCCTATCTTACACCGACGCGTACACAAATTTGCGATACGCTCACGCTCGCTAATTTGGCGCACACATTACACTATTTCACAGACAAATATACACACGTATACACAGACATCTATACATACATGCATCTTTCCTACAGTACTTACGTAAATCATGCGATATACAGGGTGAATTGTGCGACTTGCTTACCCTGATTGTTTTTGAATTTACGAGATCCATTTGTGTAGATTTGTGAAAACAGAAATTAAGAGCTATAATACAAAAGAAGCTATATTCAAATAAAAAGAAAATGAGTCTTTTTAAAAGTATATAATCTGGTAACTGATTTTCAATATTATTTCTGCTCTTCTGAAAAATAAATAGAACTGTAACCTATTTAAATACAAAGCTTCGTATAATAAATAATTATTGTTCACGCAATGATCAGCAATGGGAAATCAACTATTTTATGAAAAAATAATTCATGTTAGACTGGTAACAAATTCTTTGATCGTTTGAAACCAAAATATGGCTTGTTCGACAAGATTTTATATTTATTAAGTAGACACAACTTCGATAATACAGTGTTGTTACAAAGTTATAAATGACGATAAATCGCAAGATGAACATTTGTCCACTAATAATAAAAAAGAAAGCGGGATCAGCAAGTTGTATGTTCACTTTGTACACTTGTTACCAGCAATACAGGTGCGTACAGGTGCACAGAATGAAATTCGTCGTTTTCGTGCTAAAGGTTCTATTGTACAGCGTTTCCCAATCAATATCAATAAATCTTTAGTTTTACGAATGAATTAAAGAGCATATATTTTTTAAACATTAATTAACTGTTATATAAATTCCCATCAAACTCTGTTCGT